GGAATCAAGAGTTGACAAACAGATACTGGTGCTAAATATGACATACACTGAGAAAGTATGTTAATAGTATAACTGACTAATTATTTTCCTGGAAACCACAGGGACCTCTAAAAACAAAATGAAAAAGAAGTTAGATTTGAAATAATAAATTGGGGGAGTACATGAAGGATGCTACCGGAAGTGACAAAAGTTAGACGACCTTGACTGGAGCCTTTGTACTCCGATACATTGATACTTGACCCCCACCCCCCCCCCCCCCCCCCCAACCACCCCAAGGAAATAAAAACATGTTCCTCCTAAAAATTCTTAATGGTCTGAACTTTCATTGCCTAAAAATATTGTCAAAGTTGCTTGTGTCCCCCTTAAACATGTATACACTGCGACTAAGTGTTTGTTTATACATTTATTATTATTATTATTTCACATTTTTGTTTTGCAATTTAGCAAATAATATTAAGATAATAATTAAATAGGGCGTGATGCTGACCACATCACCCATTCTGTGCCGATTTAGTCTATACAAATTTAGGTCTAGCCCTATATGCCCTATATGCCTAAAGACGCGGAAAAGGGGCTTTTATTTTTGTGATTTACTAAATAATTAAAAAATATATATTTTTTAAAATTTTGCACTGAAGTGTTTAGTTAAAATATAATGCTACATTTATTTGCGAATTTTTAGGAAGCCATCTTTATTAGTTTTATTAAAAATCATTGCGCCATGGGGAGTACAAATTTGGACCTTTTCCACATCATGTCTGATATTAGCCGCATAAAGTTTAATATTTTCAATAAATAACCATAAAAATATGCTGATTATAACTCAAAAAAAAAAAAAAAAACCTTATCTCCCTTAAATCTGTAACCAGTATGTACATACAGAAAGCATTGTTTGCATCAGATAAAATCAAATTCATTTTTTGGGTTTAACCTGTCCTTAAACCCCTAGAGCACTGCCCCTAGGAAAATACTATGGCGCTGAGGGTCCACCCACCCCACGATTCACTAGGACCTTGGTGTGTATATTAAGTGATTGCCTAGGCTCTGTCGGGGCTGAAAGGTATTAGTTCGCCCAGTAAGGGTCCATACATAAAGAAAATAAACACCTCACCAACACCATTATCAAGCAAAACTCCAGCTTGACTTGGTTTGCAGGGGGGGGAATAGTTACGTTCAACCAGCATTCACGAAGAGGGAGCTTTTGGTTATAATTATGACTAGTTTTTTGTTGCGTTATATAAAATGGCTTAGCATTGTTTACCACCAAGTAGGTGCGGTGTTGTTGCGATCAAAGGAGACTGACCTAAAAAATGTCTCGACCAGCGACGACGAAGCCGTCTACCGGCCAGCTAGTGGGCGCTCGGTCACCGATGTTTTCTACCTGTGCTTACGCGTGTTCTTCAGCACTGGAGGGCACGCATCGACGTTTTCAAAGCAATGGAAGTAGTGTAAATCTCATTTTTTTTTTAATGTATGGAAATTTATGGGGCACCCTGTATTTATACTCCAAACAATGCTAGAAGCAGATGCAAACCTTCTTTGTCCGCGTTTACTTCCTCTAGCATCGACACTGCTTATACAGACAGGAGCCAGTGAGAGCCAAGGCCACAAGAAATCGTGCAATATTTTAGAAACACTGGACGCTTCTGGTCTTGACCGCAAAATGATGGACCATGAAGAAATTGTTAACTTGGAACGGTAAGTGCTGATAGAGAAGTCTGGCAACCTCTCCGGCAAACCTCTCTACCCCAACGAAGAAGAGGAGCGACTAAGCCAAGCAACGGTAAGTGCTGATATAAAAGTCTGGCAACCTCTCCGGCAAACCTCTACACCCCAAAGAAGAAGAGGAGCGACTAAGCCAAGCAACGGTAAGTGCTGATATAAAAGTCTGGCAACCTCTCCGGCAAACCTCTACACCCCAAAGAAGAAGAGGAGCGACTAAGCCAAGGAACGGTAAGTTACAGTAAGTGGTTGTAAACCTGTAGCGGTAAATTACAGTAACTAGTTGTAAACATTCATAGACTGTTAACTAGGAATGGTATATTAGAGAGGACCAGAAGGAGACTGTTAACTTGAAGCCGTAAGTAACATTAATCCTCACTCCAACGTGTAAAAAAAAAGGATTTGTGTATCTTGCTTTTTTGTTTTTGTTTTGTTCCTGCTTTCTTGTTTACTTACAACTAGTATGATCATTCTTTTTAAAATTAATATCATGAATGGGTCATGTTGAAAGCAATTGATGTCACTGGTGGCACAGGATTTTTAAAAAAAGTGAATATCGTAGTATGTGTACATAGTTTTATTCTAATACACGCAACCAAACGTTTCCACCAAACTTTGTTTTCTTTTTCTGAATTCAACTACCAACTATACTTAACAAAAAAAAAAACTTGAACAATAAAGAGCATCCAATGACAGAAAAAAAAAAAAAAAAGTATGCTTATTCTAGGGGGGGTGCGTGGTCTCGAGGTCTGGTTCGGGGTTCAGTCCCTGCTAAGGGCTGAGATTTTTTCACGTGGACCTCTAGTAATCCCCCTGGTCTCTGGGTGGTGAGATTGGGCCCCTGGGCCCCCCTTGGCAGTTGAAAATCGAAAAAAGTAGCCTAACGGCGCTGCCAAGCAAAGATTTGGAGTTAAAAATCTACCCCAAAGTATTTCAGGATCCTCGCCGGTGCTACAGAGCCTGTGCACTGTGCTGAGCTTCTTCGGACTCAGACTTGAGTTAGAAGAAGAACGGAGCACTTATGGGTTACTACCCATGTGCCATGATGTTGATCCGTTGTTCAAACCTCAAATGATGATCATTCTTTCAAAGTTACCTATCATGTACTCACCCATCAAGATAATAATTGACCGGAGTAGATGTCCGTGTAGCCGTCCATACTGAATTCTCTACACTTTTTTTCATTTGCCCATTCTTCATTTCTGTTAGGTTAAGGCGGCGAATCAACATCGCAGCACAGGGGTAGTAACTCTTAAGTGGTCCGTTCGACTTCTGACTCAAGTCTGAGACCGAAATTCTCTGCGCAGTGCACGAACTCCATAGCACCGTTAGGCTACTCCTTTTTTTTAAATTTCCAACCGCCAAGGAATTTTTTAACGTCCACCACAATACACACGGGCGTCCGATGTTACTACCCAGAGACCAGGGGAAATTACTAGAAGTCCATGTGAAAAAGTCTCAGCATTCATAGTGGCTTGAACCCGGGATCACCAGCACTCGAGGCGGATGCCATGCCTCGAGACCACGCAGCCAACTTCTTCTTTTCTTTTTTCATTCATTATTCTATGGTGCCCTTAATGTCAGATAAAGCTCACGATCTGTTCCTACATTTTGTTTTATCCTACGTAATCAGTTCAATAGGAGTCGCCGTGACGTAGCGGCTAGCCGGCAGAGCTTGACTGTTTTGCACAAATGACTTTGGCTCCCAGGTCGACCCAGCTTTAAGTGGGTACCAGGTGCTGTCCTGGAAGTAAAGGCGGCCGTTGTGATGCTGACCTTATAACCCATCTTGTGCCGTTGGTCTACAAAAATATTGGTCTAGCCGTATATACCCAATATGCCTGAAAGGCGTGGAAAAGGGTTCTTCACCCTTTTTTTAAAATCAGTTAAATATAATGGGTGGAAACCAGTTCAGCCTTTGTGATCTCTCTTATCGATTTTCGTTTTGGGGGGTGGGGGGGGGGGGGGGGGGGGTGGGGAGGGGAGTGAAAGGGGGAGAAGGGTGCAAACACCCTTTAGTTATCTAAAAAGTTACATAATCCCCTCTCTCCTGTTGTCTTCTTCTTTTTCTTCTTTGCGTTCACCAGCTGTAAACTCTGGTGGAAAGTTCTGGTTGTTCGTCAACTTCTGGACTGCAGTCCTGTTTCAGAACCTGAGTGTTGCGTGTGCATCCGTTTGACAGATCTGAGACATTTGTGTGCACACTGTTGGTTACTTGCCTCTCAGGCAGATGCACTCCGACTTCGAAGGAAGCTCCCAATTAGTCGACTCTTACGACATGCTTTTGTGTAGGCAGTGGGTATATTTTTTTTCCCCATAGTAGGGCCCCGGAACCCACACGGGGTTGATTAGTTATCTAAAAAAATTACTTTATCTACTCTCTTCTATTTTATTTTAATATCTAATTTCGCATCGTTAAGACAATAAATACTATAACCAAATTTTGTTTATATTTCACTATTCTGTGTTGAATTAGCTTTCCAGTAATGCATATTGTAGGTTTAATTTATATCTGTCTTGTCTCCTCCTGCCTGACCTTTGACTTCACTTTGGACACAGGAAAGTGCTGACACTGCAAGAGCTATGCTATACGACAAGTCAGGTGATGGATGTTAATCCATGGGACTACAAACCAGATACTGACCACACCAAAATTGGTAAGTTGAAGTTGAAAGCCAGAGGATCGATATCACTGCACCGGGTTTTATCCAGTTTGGCTCGGCCCCTCTCCGTAGAAAGGCTAGCCGCCTGCTGAGAGTGTCGCACAAAACATGAACTCCGTATCTCCCGTCACTATTCCCAAGGGTCTCCATAAAGACTGTACCCGTATAATGAACAATGTGTCCATGAAAGGAGCCAGCAACTTTTAGGGCGCAAGGCAAACAATTTGACCACTCCACCATACATCTTTAATTCACTTCCAAATATTGTAGATACCCCATTCAATGTTGATCTATGTGTGCTATTTTATGCCATTAATGTTGATCATTCTGCGTGTTTTGTAGCTGATCATTGTCATAGGCCCTTGTGACGTAGATAAGAGGAATATGAAAGAACTAGTTAATACTCACAGACCACCCCAGACATGAGCAAAGATCAGACAAACAGTAGCATTTGAATTCATATGTACAACTGTAATCAGACGATCGCACCAAAAAAAGTCACGACACCCTAATTTAAACAGCCGCATGCAGCGGAACAAATAATACAACCGACCACAAAACATAATCGCTAAGCGATTCATAGAGACGAGCTGGCTGTGTTAGCTGTACACACATATATATTATGATTTCAACTCATAGAGACGATTTCCAGTTGCCTCAAGACATCACCGGATGAAAGCTATTATATCCCCACATCTCGACATGAAACTACAAGATGAAGAACAAGTACAATAGAGTACTTGAAATATTAGCTGACGGCTTTTTATGTGTCCAAATCTGGTGCCCTAAGGAGGTTCATGTTTTGCTTGCCAGTGTCTGTGTTTATGTGATTGCACGCGTTTTGGATCTGTTCAAGAGACACTTTTCTAAATTTAAAACATAATGTAATATTTATTTTTGTTTGTTTGTGTGTATGTATGTGTGTACGCGCGCGCGCGCTCCATGCTACACGGTAACTACGCGACTTTCATTAGCTATATAAAATGGCGGGTTAATGGTCTGCTTGTCAACACAGGAGTCAGACAGCGATGCATACTAACTCTCCTCTTTTTTACAATTTCACCATTGACTGGCTGATGAAAGAAGTTACACGAGATAGAGAAAGAGGCATCAGGTGTTCACTCACCTTTGTTTTAGGATTTGGACTATACAGATGACATCTGTCTTATATCAAGCAGTCATGTGGAAGCTCAGGAAAAAATCGAAAGACTTTCAACAGCCCCTAAGATATAACTCAAATTAAACACCAGTAAAACTAGAGTACTGAGAAATAATTACAAAACAGAAAATCCAATTATCTTAAATGATGAAGCAATAGAGGAAGTTGCAGAATTAAATACCTCAGAATTAAAGTTACTCCAGATGGAGATTCTGAAAAGGATGTAACACCAAGAATTAACAAAGCAAATCAAGCATTTGCCACGCTTAACAATATACGGAAGTCAAAGGGATTTAGTTTAAAGACAAAACTCAGAATATACAAGAGCAACATTTTTGGAATACTATTATACAACAGTGAATGTTATAAAATTACAGATGGAATTACATATTAACTTGAGACTTTTCAAAATAAATGTTTAAGAAAAATTCTACGAATATTTTGGCCAAACAAGATCTCAAATGAAGAACTGAATAGGAAAACAGAATGTGCAACACTGGCAAATGTTATCAAAGTAAGATGATGGAGATGGCTTGGACATGTTTGCAGAATGCCTTGTGACACTTCTGGCAAAACAGCTCTCCAGTGGACAGCAGATGGGAATAGGAGACGTAGACGCCCTAAGAAAACCAAGAGAAGGACCATAGAACGGGAAATTAAGGAATGCAAACTAACATGGGATACCATGGGCAGAAAAGCAGCAGACCGGCAGCAATGGAGATCACTTGTGAATGCCTTATGTGTCAACAGCGACATGAAAAGGATATAGAAGAATAGCCTGCTGCCCGGCAAGCGTTACAATTTTGACAAATCATAGATAACCTGCTTTGCTTCATAAATGGCGTTTTAGTCTTAGCGATAATGAAATCAGCCTGGGCATATCTAAAAGAAAAAAAAAAAAAAAAAACTGGCCACCAGCATTAGAAGAACAACTCAATTTTTAAGGCACATTCATCATCATCATCATCAGGTGCCTTGCCGACTGGCGTGGGCGATCATGCCTCTTCATAATCTGCGATCTCCTGCAGCATGTATCAGTTCGTGTTTCGACACACCTCCATGCCATGCAACAAGACTGTCAAGCATCTTCTATCTTTGTCTTCCTCTATCTCTCCTTCCACATATCTTTCCAGTGGTCACAACGTGTTCTATTTTCCCTCTTCTCATAACATGGCCGAAAAATTATGGCTGTCTCCTTCTGATGTCTGTGATAAGTTGTCTTCGGGCTCCCGCCTCTTTCAAAACCTCTTGGTTGCTCTCTTTTTGGCTGTCCAAGGTATTCTAAGCATTCTTCTGTAAAACCACATCTCCGAGGCCTCCAGAAATTGCTTGGCCTGCCTACCGATTGTCCATAATTCACAGCCATATGTTAAAACTTGATGTATGTAGCAAGCAAGAATTCTTTTTCTAACTCTCAATGATAAAGATATATTGCACAAGATGTTTTTCATTTTACAAAATGCAGTTTTTGCCTGTCCTATTCTGTTTCTTATCTCAGTTATGCATCTTCCATATGATGTTATCCATGTGCCCAGATACTTAAATTGCTGTATTAAGACACATTAGAATGAGATAATAAAAAGAAACTCAGAGGAAATAGAAACATCCTACTAATCTGTTATTCAATATAGAGAAAGTCCTTGGAGACTTATATCCTCCATCCTTCAAGTATATCCTAGCCACCTGAAAATTCTTCTTCTTCTTCTTCTTGTGACCTATTGCTTATGCCACAAAGCTTCCTAGAGAGGAGTTTTTTGGAATTTTCATCTCTTTTGCTAGTTGCATAGCTTGTGTTAATGTCATGTTTCTGCAGTGTCGCTTTTACTTCCTCCATCGATATCTTTCTTGGTAGGCCTTCTGTAGTCTGTTGTCCTCGTGTAGTACGCTCTAGTTCTGGCTGATTTTATTCTATTCTGATCACATAATCAAACCGTTTCATTCTTTAATGTTCCATGAAATCATTCACCGGTACTGTGCTTACTATTCTTCTTAGTTCTTGGTTGGTGACGCTGCCTCTTCTTTGTCTTTCCCATTGCATTTTCTTAAACATCTCATCTTACATGTTGTAATTATGCGTTTATGTTTTTCTAGGATTGTCTATGATAGCACAAAGTAGGTAAAAATAGCCCATTGATCAGCTGCTCTTGTGTGTGCATGGTGATATTTAGATGCTTCAAAAGTGTCGCTGTTCGGTAGTTTATGTTGCTGGCCTTCTGTATTCTGTTGTCTATTTCTCTGGTAATATTTCTGCCCCCCCCCTCCCCCCAGCCATCTAAGATAAATGTGTCATAATTATATTTTTACAGTAATTATCCACCTGCGAAATCGTCATATAAATAGCCATTACCAGAAGTTGTGTATTATAATTATCCATTGCAAAGGTAGTCGTTATATTTATCTGTCCACAAAAATAATCCTTTGCCCGCGTTAACGCAGTGCCTAGACTCTTATCTGCCGGGCTTGGATTCAAATCCACATCAGGGCTGATTTTTTATTTAAAAATTATGGTAGACCAAACAAAGAAACATGTCACAAAAACATTTTCATTCGTAGACAATGCTACCAGTGCCAGACATGGTCACTCACAACCAATAAGAAAAACGAATTAGTTTCCATGGAAGTTAGATGTCTGCAATGGCTGCGCGAGTGATCCGAAGTGGTAAAACCAGGGAAATAAGGTCATGTGACACAGCTGACGTGCGTTTAGTTTGTTTTGTCTTGCTTACTTTGTTTGTTGTACCAGCAGTCTTGATTTTTAACAATGTCGATGTACACAAGACTGTCGCTGGTCACGGCGCCAAATATCCTCACACTTGTGACACAGTTGTATCTATCTTCACATCCCCCAACAAATAAATGTGCATAATTCGGACAAAGTGTGTTATGGATACAGTTCATAGCTCTCTTGATCGTACGCAATCACACGGCCAGTGATGTAACAAGTTATTCCAGATCTGATTGTTTATTTCCACATTATTGTCAGACAAACAGTACGAGTCATTTCATGTATGCAACAGTATAACATTCTAGTATCTTGTTGTTGTATGTTCATATATACCATGATAAGTTCTTTAATCTCTCTCGCAAAGCTAAACCAAAGTTTTATACATCTTCCCTCGAAGTTTTCTCAACTGCCCTACTAGCGGCTCGGCACTAACTGACCTGTCTCCTCCTCGCTCAAATCTCTTCAACCCCCCGCTTCCTAACTCTCTCCGCGTGGGTTATCAATCACCCCCTGTCATCCGTCTCCGGTTGTCACGTTTGGGTAAACGTATTCTCTTTAACTGGTCACAGTGCACCTGGTTTATCTGTATCGCTGGTCGGGCCAGCTTTCTAATAACCGTTTTCTGTCATGCCAACCAGTGATGGATTGGCGTGCCTTGATGCTGGTCTGAAATATATGCTTTATTTATTCAACCCCTTCCTAAATATATTTCATTACAGTCATATCAAATACTAAATTACCTAGAAAGACATCAAACAAAATGGTATGTGCACAGAGGGAAAGCCTTCTGACGCTATACCTTAGAAGGCATACATCAACAGAGGAAACGGACGTTGAGCCAAAGGTAGACCAAGAATGAGATATAAAGATAAAACCAGAGAAGCTCTTCGCATCGTGACATGTCTATGGTAGAGGCAGCCGAAATAGCAAGAAGCAGAACCTCAGATTTCCTTACACACCTGAAGCGGTAAAAGAAGAAGAAGAAAAAAAGAAGAAGAAGAAGAAGAAGAAGAAGAAGAAGAAGAAGAAGAAGAAGAAGAAGAAGAAGAAGAAGAAGAAGAAGGAGAAGAAGAAAAAGGAGGAGAAGGAGAAGAAGAAAAAGAAGAAGACAAAGAAGAAGAAGAAGAAGAAGAAGAAGAAGAAGAAGAAGAAGAAGAAGAAGAAGAAGAAGAAGAAGAAGAAGAAGAAGAAGAAGAAGAAGAAGAAGAAGAAGAAGAAGAAGAAGAAGAAACAGCAGCAGCAGCCCAAAATAAAATATTCTGGAAAGTAAATACATCCGGACTGATGATGACAAACATCAGTCATCTTACACCGATTAGTCTATAAAAAAAAACACATCTAACGCCATCTGCCCTGTACGCCCATCATCTGAGCAGAGTCCTTTTCTTGCTTGCATAAAAGCTAGCCCCAAGTTATAATTATTATTCATAAGGAAATGTCTCAACATCTTTTATAATTTCAGAAGTGGACACGTCTGATGGGGATCGAGATGGCGTTGAGCTTGCAGTAACTCATGTATGTATATTCCATAAGCTGTATCAGTAAAGTGCATGTCATATTATTTAATCTGCATGTACCTACTAATGTGGTTGCTAACGTATAGGGCATTCACACGTGATCTCCACTGCTACTCGTCTGCAAATTTTCTGCCGATGGTATCCTATGGTAAGTCAAGAAAAGGACCTATTTCCACGCCTCCAGTCGTATTGACATATATTTTATAGACCAATCGGCGATGTGGTAAACATCGCATCAGCCGCCTTTACTTCCAAGGACTTTTAACTGGTACCTTTTTAAGCTTGGTCTACCTGGGAGCCAAGGTAACATTTGTTTAAAAAAATAAAAGGTCTATTTTGCCAGTACCCGGATACGCATGCGAGAGTCTAGTGGCTCCCTGCGTGACAATGTACACTGTTGTCCTTTCTGTTGGTCTTCTTAAGGTTCCTGAAGGATGTCCGCTTCTCTTTTGCCTCCAGTCCACCAGAGAGTCATATTTGTCTCAGTGTCAGGAGGCATTCTTTCCAAACCATCTCTATCTTCTTCTTTGATAATCTTTGTCAGCGATAGACATATGTTTTACTCCTCAATTCTTTATCTTATTTGATATTTTATAGTTCACTGTAATAATCTTAGTGTTTTAAACGCCATTCGTGATTTTACTCGCATTTTCCGATTTATTTATTTTCTTTTATTATTTTTCCGACAAATTTTAGTTTGGTTTTACATTTAAGAGTTAGGTGACTGGTCAGATCTTTCGACCACAGAAAGATGTAAGATACAGAATGTGCAATAGACATAACAATTAAAAACTTCTGCTTTATATGGGTAAAAAAAAAATGACTTAAACAATATTGTAATTTATTTCTTCTTTGGATTAATCTCAATTTTTCTTTACATGCCGTTTGCAGTGGTTTCTGGCAACTTTTTTTTTTAGGGGTCTCTGAGGAATATAATTACTAGTGAATTATTGTATATCTAGGGCTCATTAAAAACTGTTTGAAAGCGTCGCTCCAGAGGTCACGAGTTGTTTGCGTCCTCTGGATATTTTCTCCAGGGTATTTCAGTATGATGGGAAATTAACAAGCAGAAAGATGAGCTAGTTCCGCTCCATTTGGTGATAAACTGATGCATGACAAACTAGATATTGTAAGGTCCCTCTGGGAATCAGTGAACAGTGCGGAGGCACAACAAGATGATCACTGTGTAAAGAGAAGCTAGGAGTGACCAGGGGCCGACTCCCAACACTGACGGGAGGGACGAGACATACACTCAGACTGTTATTGGTACCACCGGAGTTGGAACTCTGCGCTTGCTGCTGAAGACGTGGACGAAGCGCTTATCAGAATGCCCCGAGTGTTGTGGAGTCGATTCTTAACTCATAAAAAAACACACACCAGTTTATAACAATTATTGTATACAGTCGAGGAGTGTCTGTCGAGGCGATTAGATTGTTGGGCTTTGAAGTCGGAGCCTCGTGTTCACATCCTGGGTAAAGTTGAAGCTTTTTTTTCTGTAGGGATATAAATAAATCTCAGTCTACATGTCTCTAAATCCTCATGAGTTGAGTTGAGTTGATTCAAGAACTGACATCACATCACTTGGGATATTCCCATAAGCGCTCTGTCCCCGTCAGCAGCCAGCGAAAAGTTCCGATACTAATGGTGCCAGTAGCATTCTGATTAAACGTACGTCTTGCCTTTCCTCTGAGCCTCGAGCATCTGCCAGAACCTCTAGTCACTCCCCCCCCTCCCCCACTTGCATTAATCTCACCAGACTGGTTATGCATCTGCGCCCCCGAACTGTACACGCTCTCCCACAAGGCACTAACCACGTCTGCCTTATCATGCATCAGTATTCCACCAGGTTGTGCAGAGCCAGCCAGTCTGTCCGCCTGTTCATTTCTGAACACACCGGCGAATGCCGGCGAAAAAATCCAGAGAATACTCCTCACCTGTGTCTTCCGCAGCGAAGCATGCCACTCTGTATGAAACATGCCTGTCCTGATCTTCCTCAGCATGCTTTCTGAGTCAGTTACAATCATGATGTGTGTGTGTGTGTGTGTGTGTGTGTGTTGTGGTGTGTTCTCCAACCAGCGAAAAGCCGAAGTAACCGTCTCCACCTCCATTCTTAAGCTGGATGTTGTGGTATCATATGTTAGGCTCTCCTGCACCAAACGTCGACCATTAACTTTTGCTAAGAAGCCCCAAGCACTTCTTTTGCCTCTTGACACCGAACAGCCTGTGTAAATATTCAAATCCTCTGAGCGAGCATTATCTTGAATTAATTGCTGAATTTCAACCTGCTGGCCAATCTCTGCCTTCCCGGCCTAGTGTGATTATGACAAGTCTGACTGTTCAGGTGGCACTTTGACCCACTCCTCTCCTCGCCTAATGTTCTCAAGGATGCAAACCTGTCTGATTGTGTCTTCTGTCTGAGCCATCCGTGATTTTCCTCTTATAAGCCTCTGACCCTTAACTGCACCCAGAGCTTCGTGCAAAGGGTGGTCTGTGTCTGCAGCTAGTTTGAGATATGACTTCGCCTGCAGCACCGTGTGCCTACCTGCAACAGTCGGCAAACCAAGGATGTATCGCATACACGCCACAGTGGTGTCTCTGGTGTAACCCAGAATGACCCACATAGCTGCGTTCTGTACGCGCTCTATTTTGTCCATCTGACTCTGAGGCGGTAAGCAGTCCCAGGCCATAATCAACCACTGACAGGATCAGGTGCTGATATAGTGTGAAAAGCAATCTCTGCTCTATGTCAATTGCAGCCATAGTCTTAAGTGCACTAAGTCCTTTTTGGCATCTCGTCACAACACTCTCCACATGGTCCTTAATTGACAGGCTCCTGTCAAATGTAATTCCCGGATACTTCAATTTGCTCTCTCTGTTGACGTCTCTACCATCTATCGTGAGACTTGGGACATTAGCTCTAACGATCCTGTTGTCCAGAGAACACCACAAAACAGACGCCTTTTCCGGGTGGACGACAGACCTCATTTCTGTACAGTACTCATTCACTTTGTCTACTGTCGCTTGTAGCTCCCGGGCTGTTTGTTACCTCTCTTCCCCCTGCCTATATGCAAGTATATCATCCGCAAAAGTCAGTATCCTTCCAACTCCTGGTGCTTCTAGACTTACAATATTGCTCGTGTACAAGTACTAGGACCTAACTGCATGGTTCTGAGGTCCGTGAGCCCAGTCAAAGAGCAACCTGACGTGAATACAGGACATCTGCAACCCAATTCACCAGCCATGGACTGACTTCGCTTTTTCTTCAGTGCAGTCATCAAGATGTCTATAAGCATTTTCGAGATCCAGTGCTACCGCTATAGTTTCCTGTCTGTTCTGGAAACCTTCATAGTCACCAATAGCAAAAGTGGCCGCATTTGCCCATGTGTCCTTTCCCGGCCTGTAGTTTCCCAGACCTCTTGGGAGAAGCTTGCCCATTTACAAAAATTCTTGCAGCTTTACATAAACTATCTTCTTTAGGACCTTCCCAACTGTGTTTTGTAAGGTGATGATTCTAAAGCCACTGTGCTTTGAATGATCCTTAAAAGGTTTTGGCAGTGGGATTAGATAGCTGTGCACTAAGTTCTGCGGTACTGATGCTGTCTTAATCGTTAAAACAGTCGGTCATCTCTGCCAGGTCTACATCGTTCAAAGTCTTCATGTGGCCATACCTGACCCCATCAGTCCCTGGTCCATTGTCTTTTGCCTTTTTCAAAATATGTTTGATATCTTCTACTCGTACCATGTCTTTATAATGCAGAATCTTTAAAATCCTCATAGGAAAGGGAAAAAAAAAGCACATCCGCCCTAAAGAGCCAAGAAGAGTGGTATAAAAAGGGCAGGAAAAGATCGCTTATATGTATAATAATACTTTACCTCTTTGAATTTATACCAAGAATGAGACGTAGTGGTTGGCCAGCTAAAACATTGAACAGTCTGTCCTTTCTCTTCCACTGCGGCCCTGTTTTTTAAACAACGAATGTTTCCAGCTCCCAACATCGTTGGCGTTGTCGGTTGACTGCTAATTTGTTGCGACATCTGTAATTCCGCAGACATGATATGGGGAGAACTGAAACGAGAAGCAGAAGCTTTGATCATTGCAATATTTGCGTGCACACGTTGCTGGATGAAAACCGCGAAGTGCACGCACGCATAGACGAGAATCAGGTGCTAACTTCCAACAAGTTTCCTCATATCGTCCTTCTCCCTATATCCTACTCTTCCCTTCACATTATCCTCTGTAAAATGTGCTCTGCTACATCTGCCCTACTCTCTTGTTTCGTCTGCCATTATCCTTGTGTTGGTATTTCATGCATGATACTACACAGTGACATTTATTGTGTATTAATCTCATCATCATCATGTAGCAGGTTCCTTGCAGAACGTCGCTCTCATCACGGTCAAGATGGCAATATTTCTACTCTTCTTTGTCCAAGATATTCTGAGAATCTTTCTCAAAAGTTTTTATCTACCTACCCTAATAATAAACATACTAACTTATATGCAAGCTATATGTTTTCTATGCGTTTCTCTGCATCCTAACCAGAAATTCTCAGGTGGCAATATTTCTACTCTTCTTTGTCCAAGGTATTCTGAGAATCTTTCTCAAAAGTTTTTATCTACCTACCCTAATAATAAACATACTAACTTATATGCAAGCTATATGTTTTCTATGCGTTTTTCTGCATCCTAACCAGAAATTCTCAGGTGAAGTTCTGTATATATATTCTTCTACTAACATACAGATGCAGGCACATATGATGCATGCATAAATACATACCCAAACACGCACACAAACAAAAATACACATGGATACATACATACGCATACACACATTACATACAAACATGCATTACATTACACACACACACACACACACACACACACGCACGCACGCACGCACGCACACACACACACATTACATATATTACATACAATACATTCATACATTACATACATACATACATACATACATACATACATACATACATACATACATACATACATACATACATACATACATACATACATACATACATACATACATACATACATACATACATACATACATACATACATACATACATACATACATACATACATACATACATACATACATACATTACATATATTACATACAATACATACAATACATACATACATTACATACATACACAGACGGACAGACAGACAGACGCTCACCCGCCTGCTCGGGCAGGCTCTGACAACGGACAGAGAGACAAAGAAACAACCAGATTCTTGCCTAGAAAAACTAAAAAAGCTTATCACGTGAGGACAAGACAAGATATCTATGGCAAGACGTGTGCGTGTCTCGTCCAATGAATTACCATCCACGCAAGTGGTCGTGAGGCTGTCGATTGCCAGGTCGCTGTAAATCATCTCGCTGTTGTAGATCATTCGCTCAATAATTTGTCACTTGTCGCCACCTTCGTCGTCCATCTTGCCGCGCTTCAGACATCAACAGAAACAGAACCTAATCATGTAATTGATTCTCGGTAAAAGACACATTTCCACTAATGTTATTGTCTTTTATTCCGAGTTACTTCTTATTGGGCAGTTGTTGTGTAATCAATAAAAGTGCAGGGGAATCGTCTGGTAGATGCTGGCTGTAGTAGTAACTGCAGCCAGAGTAGAGCTTGATGTGTTATCATAACACATAAAAAGTATAACGTTTCTTCCCCCCTCCTCCACCTATTCCTCAAATTCCTGCTCTGGTGAAACTGCAGCTGGCGTCTGGCTGGTGTAATCGTTACGTGTAACTGACTGTTACTTCTTTAGAGATTGAACGGCTACCTGGGATCTGCCTAGTTGGTCTGTTGTCCAGACTAAGATTTTACTTTATTCTCAGGATGGTATGGTAACTTTAGGTAATAGATTTATACATTAGAACATACACTTTTAGCCAAGTGGCAGTAATTCGTCGTAACCTTTTCTATCACGTAGAGCGCCACTGTTCAGCGCCCACAGTCATCTCCCCCTCCCTTCTCGATTCACTGGAGTTTGTTTCCTTGCCTGCCAAAGCTGCATATCAGTAATCATTCTTCTTTTCTCCTACTGTTTTTGCCATGAAGCGTTGCAGAGAGGAGTTCGGTGTAGTTTCCTGGGATAAGATTTTGATTATCTCCTCATCATTCGAAAGAGCTGAAAGCTGACCTTTTAAAAGGGAATGGCAAAATACTCAACGTAAAGTATGTCTAGAAAAACCACAACAGCCACAGAATTATGGTGCTGGTTTTGCAACATCCTGTACACAAATACGCAACTAACTTAACTGTCTTTCCTTGTAGTGTTGGGTGTTGGTTATATCCTCTCGTCACCACACACGTCACCATTATTTCCGTACCTTTGTGATTTAAAAAAGTTTCCACATTGATAATATGCATTGATCGTCATCATCATGAACCACTTTTGCCGTTAAGTGACACTGGGATGGTCAATTTGTGACCTAGTACACCCTGGATGGCACTGGCTATTGTCAGCTGGTAAAGGCGTAAAGTGCTTGTTGTGCTGAGGATCCACTTTTCGTGGCTGTCTTCTTGTTTTGTGAAGTGTTGCCAATTTTCTTTGACAAAAAACATCCTGAACGGAGTCAAAAAATATCTAAAAACATCTAAATTTGGCGTGGAAAACATCTAGAAACAACATTCAAATGGAAAGAGTCACAAATAACATAGCAATTGACATGACTTACCCTATAGAATCTTGTCCTCATCTTTACTGAAGTCAGCCTCACAAGAGCCACAGGCTAAACTTAGCTTGGATGATGAAGTTGAAGCTTCAGATTCAAAATGACTTTGGTATACTTTAGCTGTTCTAATTTCTTTTAATACCCAATCAGGGAGCTGATAAATGGAACAGCCTTTTCCTACTCTGATCAGGCGGAATTTTATTGTCAAGACAGCATTTAAAAGGTCAAATTTCATCCTGTTTCTGAGGTTAGATTTGATAAATTAACTCCAAATAAAAAAACATTTAGAAGAACATCTACCATCTAAACTTCAAAAACGCCATCTGAATGCAAGGAAAAACATCTAAATCTGGATGTAAAACATCTACAGTGGCAACACTGGTTTTGTTGCTGATCTTTTGAGTTGAAGTGCCTGTGATGGTATTTGATGTTGCTACCTTCTAAGAGATAACAAAACCACTTGATCTGCTGTTTTTGTCGACGAATCTAGTACAAGGCGTCTTTCTCACAATGTGTGTGATAATATCAGTATTCACCCGATCTCGGATAGTCAGATTGGTGGCTTCTCTCAGGAACTTGATCTCGCAAGTGGAAATGTTGCGTACATGGGTCTTAGAAAATGGCCATGTTTGGCACTAGCAGCTCAATAATGGCGTGCATATGCTGTTTATAATCTGTTTATTTTCATCGATAGTTATGTCTTCCTAATAGTTACCATTGGTTATTATCAACATGCATTGATAAAGATGTCAACGTGTAAAGTATACTCTTCTGCAGGTGAATACAAGAAGTCCTCGTCACCGAAAATGTATCTGGATTACCGTTCTTGTTGTTGGCACCCTGGTTGTTGTCGCCGGAGTTATTGGCCTTACTTTTGCTTTTACTAAAGACGAGCACCCCAAGGACTGAGAGCGCCACCGGGACAAGGTGGTCATTGTATTCACATTGGTGCCCAGCAGCAGATGTTTATATACATCGCCTGCATTTATCAGCTGTAAATATGTTGAAAATGTTTGTTTAACGAGCCTTAGAATCATTAATTAGGCAAGGTCATTGCTATATTCAACACACATTATACACGGGGAGGGGGCGAACGAACAAATGCACATTACTTTCAGAGGATCACATCTTGGGCACGCAGGCCTGTCTTATGTTAGGCCCTTCCAAGCACTCATCTTACAGACCGCAACTGTATTTTATTAATTAAGCATGTTCTGTTCATATAACAATTTACTTAGAATGAATGTCATAGAGAGAAATAGAGGGGGGGGGGGAGAGAGAGAGAGAGAGAGAGAGAGAGAGAGAGAGAGAGAGAGAGAGAGAGGAGAAAGAAAGAGAGAAAGAGCTGTTGTGTAAGCAAGAGACTCATTTCTCTGGAACGCTTTCGACCCTATCAGGTGTGGCTGATGTAGAAAGTTTTCATCGGATCCATTTTCAAAACATCATTTCTCCGGGCACTGTTTGGAGTTCTGTTTCCGCTCCCCTATGTGAGTGTGTGCAAGACTGGTTCTGGAATGCCACGTCTGCCTAGAGTCATTTTAGGCTCACGTAGTGCGGATAAAAGCACAGGGGAGGATACTATAACTATCCCTTGGAGGAGAGCACATGGGAGGATACTACCTATCCTTTGGAGGAGAGCACAGGGGAGGATACTATACCTATCCCTTGGAGGAGAGCACAGGGGAGGATACTATACCTATCCCTTGGAGGAGAGCACAGGGGAGGATACTATACCTATCCCTTGGAGGAGAGCACAGGGGAGGATACTCTACCTATCCCTTGGAGGAGAGCACAGGGGAGGATACTCTACCTATCCCTTGGAAGTGGAAATGACACACGAAAACTTGACATGTTGTGTAGCGGGAAAAAAACAGCCCTTTGTCCATGGCTGGCAGACGGTCTTAGAGGAAAGCTAAAAAAGGCGGGCAGGCAGAACACTGGTCTTCTGCTTCAGTAGCTTCTGCAGCGAGCTTTCTTTGAGAGGTATGGATGTTACCTCTCTTTTGGAGTAAATAATGCAGACGGAGAGGATTATCATGATGAATGGGCAACACATGGTCTCTACAATACAGCCCAGGCTTTGTGTTGTGCAGATGTCCTGAAATCCGATGCTCTAAATGTGGAAGACTTTTCCTAACGAGGGCAAGTATGTCTAGTTACACTCGCTATTTGCTGTGATCCCCCCGACCCCCTATAACACAATATAACACTAAAGGTGCCAACATATTAGGATGTAATGGGATCATTCTTCAGCACACCTCTTGTCGGGCCGGTCCGGATTAGGGCTAAATTGTAATGCCATGTGCATACTTTATTTCAAAGGCCAAGAGCGGTTGTTATTTCTTCCCCCCCCCCCCCCCCCCAGTGAAGTCTACTACACACGATGTGGCTAGAAAACTCAACTAAGGGAATGGAAAAGATGCGCACAAAACAAACCGAACTTTGAGAACAAAGAGTTTGTGGACGGAGTACTAAATACAGCACAAGTCTGACGGAAACACTAAACGGAAAGGACAGTCTGTCCAGAATCTTCCCTTTCCCCAGGATATAACGGTGTGTTGCGAAATCAGCACACTCGACAGTCTGGAATGTTCTGCACCACTGCATAGCCAATAAAAGAACAAAGAATCACACTGCAAACTGCCTCCATTCCTACTGGAACTCTGCAGTAGCTGATAGAGATGGAGACTAGGCGTTTGTGGAAATACCCCGAGTGCTGTGAGATTATTTGTCAGCTAACTTCACTGACCAACACCAAGCAAGGTAACGGCCGTACTTGCAGGACCCAAGTCCAACATTTCACCTTTAATTCGCTTTTGCCAGATGGACGGCACTTTTCACTGGAATCGTTTATGGTGTCACCAGACACAGTTATTTGTCCAGGCGTGTTGTGGACATTCACAAGCACAAGAGTGAGATTCCTGAGAAGCACAAAATTAAAATGGAACAGCTGAAAAAAAAAGAAAAAAAAAACAGAATGAAGAAACGGAGATGCTTGCACTTGGCAAGGAAGCTGGTGTTCCAGCAAAGTAAACAAGATGAGATTTGTTGTTTGATGTAACCTTTTACTTGTTCTTTTGTAGATGTATCTAGAGTCTGCGAGACTGGCTTGTGATGTGGTATACCGTTTAACATGCAAATAAAAGATGTGTGTTTGTTCCTTAAAAAAAAAAAAGTAATGTTTCCTTCACGAGAAGGAAAAAGAAAAAAAAAATGTTATTTACGTGCCCTGTGCAGGACGTTGCAGAATCAACCTTAAAATTATTTTTGACTTTATTGCGTGGTTTTACAAGCGCAATTTTACGTTTACTAATTTGTTATTAGTGAACGGTCTGCTCTTTATAATATTGTTGAAACGAGCATCATATCGTTTGCAGCTGGGATCAAACCGGGCACAACAGAATTGTGAAACACGTTTACAACGCGTAAGCCACAAACGCCAACAGGATAACAAAATACAGGGTAAAAGAGAAAGGTCCACAGACAGACAGACGAGTGGACGGGAGGGCGGGCAGGCAGGCAGAGAAAGTAGAATAGTCAGAAAAAGATTAAAAAAAAAAAACAGCAGACCGATACACTGATAAGCATATTAAAATCCTCAAATGTTTTTGTAATATGGTTTCTTCAATGAGATTTAAGCAAAGTACGAACGACGAACTTTATTTTTAAAAGGGTCGCAAATTGGGCAGGTCTTTCAATCACTCATCTTTCATTCGGCATTTGTATTTTATGTATCATGCATCTTATGTTCATTTATCAAAGTTCATAGTATGAATGTAAGGTACTCATAGTATGAATGTAAGGTATTCATAGTATGAATGTAAGGTATAACACAAAATCATGGCTGACAAATGTTTGTTTATGTTTATTCAACGGGTCGGCGTCTGTGGCTTAGGCGAACATGCTTCGTAATGCCGGTGTGCCTAGTTCGATCCCAGCTGCGGGTCTTGCGCCTTGCGTTGGTTTCGACCGTGGTATCGAGAAGCAAACCATCCAAAAAGCAGTGGCAAACTACTGAACGTGAACATGCCTAGAAAAACCACAAAAGCCAAAAAAAAAAAAAAAAAATGTTGGGGTTGGTTCTGCAACGTCCTGTAAAGGATACGCAGCTAACTTATTAAATGAATCAACATCATGGCACATGGGTGTAACCCATAAGTGTTCCCATCTTCTTCTAACTCAATCCTAAATCTGAAACATTTCAGCGAAGTGCACAAACGAAGATCCTGAAATAATTTGGGTAGATGTTTAACTCAAAATGTTGGCTGACAAATACATGTAAAAATACACACACAACGCAAAAAAACACACACGAAGAAGACTTACTGACTCAATCAAACACACATACACACACACAAACACTTATACACAGAGTAACACGCACTGACAATACACACAAAACCTAAACAGTCACATAGACAATAACAGACACAAAACAGACAAAACCATGCCACATGCATACACAGATAAAAACACGTGGATGCGCACTGGCGTGTAAAGAGACGTTTATTTTGTATAAACGCTACAATTCTGATACTTATGCATTAAAAAAGACAAGTCTGTAGTGTTTAATTGTTTGATTAGCAGCTGCCTGACCAGTATTTTAGTATGCTGGGCTATCCTCCGAATAACGGGCACAAAAGATAGCGGCCAAAAACAGGGCCCCAGTCACTTGTCAATTGCGCACTTCCGGTGACCTAATTTGCGGTTTTTTGGCGACTACCGCCACCGTTCGAGAGTATCCCTCAGACCCTCACGCTGCGTGGATTGGGGCTAAACTAGATGGCTAGGACTCACGAGCAAAGCTGCAGGAGATGAGGAAGCTGCTGCTCGTGAGTTCCAGCCATCTAATTTAGCCCTAATCCACGCCGCGTTAGCGTGGGGGATAGCGAGGAGGATACCCTCGACGGTGGCGGTAGTCGCCGGAAAACCGCCGGAAGTGCGCAATTGACACGTGACTAAGGCTCTGTTAGGGTGTTTTTGTGGCCGCCATCTTTTGTGCCCGTTATTCGGAGGATAGCCGTATGTTGAAAGAGACTAAATTTCTGAATTGTATGTTTCAAAATCACTGTTCTAATTGCTCGCAAACTGTAATTTGGCTCGGATGTAAGGTGGGCAGGACTGATTCATCAGCAACCTAAATATTTTACATGGTCAAGCGAATGGTTGTTTATTCTGTAGATTATAGCTTTTATGTTTCGACTAATATACACAACCAGCATCTCTACTGACACAGTTTATTATAATTCATATATCATTCCCACTGTCTGCGGCGTCCGTGGCTTAAGCGTTGCGAGTCCGACTCGTAATTCCAACGTATCGCGATCGAAACCCACTGCTGGTAGCGTGGATTTTTATCATGGTATGGAACGTCGCAGGTCGACCCAGCCTAAAATGGGTACCAGGATGGGCTGTCCTGGGAAAGTAAAGACAGCCGGTGTAATGCTGACCACATTACCCACAGAGTGCTGATGGAATGTAAAATATGCCCGATGCGCCGAAAGGTGTGAAAAGGGATCTTTACTTTTTTTTTATGGAACGTCGCAGGGCGACCCCGCCTAAAATGTGTACTAGGATGTATGTCCCGGGGAAGTAAAAATGGCCGGCCTAATGCCACATTACCCACCCAGTGCCGATTGGTCTGTAAAAATATGGGTGCTTTTCCTATATGCCCGATGCGCCTACAGGGGTGAGAATGGATCTTTACTTTTTACTACTATATGTGTCTGGTCTGGTAGTCTTAGTTTCAGCTTCATAGCAAACGGGTCACCCCATTTTTGCTCCACTCCTGTGCCAACGAAAAATACACAGAATGTTTATCACAGTCCCTTGTGAAAATATTGACAGACAGCTGTCTCAGCATATCTAGCATACACAAGCATTAAAGCATACGGTAGCCATCCGAAGTG